TTCCTGGTCATGCGATACGATCAATTCCTTACTTGTAATTCATAAAGTTTCTGAGATATGATTTCAAAAGCTTTTATCTCCAAATTCCTAATTTAACAAATCAATCCTATTTATCCTACATCAACCATTACGCTACCTGGCTAGGGATTGCTTCCACTGAGGAGACACTGAAGAGCTGCTGCAAGATATCTGGATAAACTGAGTCCCCAACATATACTAGACCATCCTCGCCATTCTCAAGAAAATAGACTCCTTCGTTATTGATGTGTTCACTTGACAAAGGAATTGTCACAGGAATGACAGATCCTTCATCCTGAAAAGAAGAACATTAATAAAGCTGATCTAAAAACACATTGAAATTGATATGAAATTTCAACTTTATACCTTTGAATTAGCGTCATGGACAGCCAGCATTCTGGGGTAAACCAGGGGAATTGCCAAAGGAGTTGAAAGGGAGGAAACATAATTGATCCAAAAAGAACGATCATCTATTCTCCCATCAGTCCGCAGCCCTGTGCTCTTAATTAATGCTAAAAAAGAAAAAAATATACCATTATTTTTTGGGTGAATAAATCCATGATCTGCACTGAACTTTTTTAGCTTGCTAAGATGAAGAAACTTATCAAGTCCTCAGTACTCAGAAAATATTCATAGAACGCTTTATATTTAGGAACTTGTACTCAGAGCAAAAGAATTCCCACAGAAAAAACAGAATCACACTTGACCCACTTAAAAAATTATGATATAATAAATGATCTGATCCCCGTGAAGGCACTAAATCTTCTTGAACTCATAAATTTTATGGAAAAAAAGAACACTAAATAATACAAACAGTATGCAACAGCCATAAGTAATTTTATTAACAAGCACAAAATATGGCTAATAAACAACAATTTGGAAGCAAAAAGAACAGATAGTTTCATCACTTCAGGAAAGCATATATGAATATCCACAGAAGGTGCTGATATGATTAGGAAATGTCAAGTGCACTAATGTAATAACGGTAGAGATATGAACAGTAAGAAATATACCAAGGGTGTATAAAGGCAGAAGTTTAAGTGCCTCTGGAAGAATAAGCTGTCCTGATGACGTTACAGTAGCACAGAATTTACGATATGAAAGCAAAGTGTTGACACCAAGGTTTGTCACTTGTTCCCTGACTTGCAATAGTGGCTTTGAAGGAATTTCGCTAGCCGCTGCATAAAGGGAATAAAGGGAGAAGGGGGAAGAAAAGAAAAGAACAGAAAATAAAACAATAAGCCTGTTAGGAACCAGATGCTGAACTGTTCTCAAGCGAAATCTTACATTTATATTTTGCTTACCAGATGTATGATGTAGGGTTAGAAGAAACATGTCAGCACAGTACAATAAAAAATAATGGAGATAAGAACAAGAAATAGAGAAGTATGATAGAGTCACACACCTTGCTTCAAGTAACATGCAAATTGAGCATCCAAATCAGCTGAGCGAAACAGATTACTTAGCATGTTAGTGGCATGGAGAAAAATAAAGTTGTAACTCGGATTCTTCTTTGCCCATAAACGGTGGTGTAAAGAAGAGCGCACTGGAAAACAAAGGAGAATATAATTGAAAGGTTATGAAAATCCATCATATTTCTAAAAAGAAAGGGTTATGACAATCCATCTTCCAAATGCTTATAATTATACATAAAATTTTTGTATAACAATGGTATAATGGTAACATATAAGAACTAAGTGTTGAAGAGATTAGAGAGACTATCAGATATACCTGAAAAGCACATTCTGAGCCATCCTGCAATTTATCATCATGCTTTAAGGTCACCATTATAGCTTTATCACAGTCAATCTGTAGAAAAAGAAGGTTTGTCAAGAAGAAAGGAAAAAGATCATACAAATAAAGAAGACATTATCCAATAATTTATAAGAATTGCATAACCCTATCGCCATGGTATTATCCAATAACTTTCCTTCTACTGTTTGCATGAAACCGTTATATTTCTATGGCACTAGGACCATCCAAAAGTTACCATAGTATAAGTTTTTGAAGGCCGTGGTATTATTATTTTGAAAGATATGGTATTAAATTAACTTGCCACCACCAATGGGACTCAGGAAGTTCAGCCAAGTGGTCAGCTATGTCTAGCACTCTCTAAATGATTAGAATCATGACACAAGGAATTGAAAATAAAATACTGGTTAACTACTTTTCAGTAATTTCCATAAAACATACGAACCGCAGGTAGGTCAATGTCAGTTGGAATGCGCTTGCAAAAGTTTCCAGAGTAGTCTTGTACTTGAATCCCCTATCAAGTATAGAAAAAAATAAGAGTTAACTTACCAGTATAATATATAGACTAAAAAGTAAACAGGATAAACTCAGTATTACAAGAGCATTACCTGGCTGCATCTCACGCGCATAACAGCCTCAAACCCCTGGGGCCTTGTGACATTCCATCTAAGATCATTGTAAAGCTTGGCAGGATCAGATAGAGCTGAGAAAGGGTAATAATAGTAAACCTGCAGGAGAAGTAAATGGTTCAGGTTAAATATAGAGCTTACAAAAATAAATAACAAAATCTCAATGAAGGTTCTATGAGAAAGATGGCTATTAATGAAAAAATGACACGGTTTGTGTATCAATGAACCATAAGAAGGTGGTAACTGAGTTTCCTACTAAACTGAAGATTTGGGTCTCTGTGATTTAGTGCTGGTCAAGTATCTCTAAGTGAGGAATAGAAATCTACACTCTTTAATGGAAATACAGACCGACTCCATTTCAATCTGTTATTAAATCGTATCACCGTCTGAATGAAGAAGGTTTTTCAATTCATTTTTTGCTTTTGGTGTTTTTCTTAGAAAAACATTGTTCCTAAAGAGAGACGGAGAGGAAAAATAAAAAAAGGAAAAAAAAGAACCAAAACAAGATAAAGGAGAAAAAGCATACAAGATTACTAGAAGGCACAGCTCTGGACCAGCATTACATCTTAATCTCAGAAGAGTCCAACATTGAAAAGAAACCAGCAGAAAGTAGATTAAAAAGACTTCTGATTTTTTTGAATTTTTTAAGACAGAACCCTATCGGAAATTTAGATGCTAATGGAAGTTGCTAAAGATCTAAAAAAAGATGAATGCTAAAACAAAGTGACAAAAGATGCAACATTATGAAAGAAAAGAAGATAATATATACAACAGGCACAGAAGGGGTGCCAGCCAGGTACAAAGAGAGATATTTACAATTCTCTCAAACACAAAAGATCAATGAGATTAATAATGTCAGACTCCATCAGGATGGGATGGCCCTTTGAACAAGGAAACAAGTCCTCTGTCAGTGCTCGCTAAAAAAGAAGTGAAAGAAGAAGAAGAATTTTCAAAAGCTCTCCTATTAGGCTCCTAATGACCCAAAAATTATTGTGATAATGCCATTCCAATCCTTTACAAAACCATACATAACCCATAACCTAACTGAGATTTCTAGGAGAGAAAGAGCCAAAATGCAAAGCCTTCTAACCTTCAGGAGATCCCCACTCTTTTGCTACGACTCGTACAATGGATAAGGTAAGGAGCTTTACCCACCCATTATCCTACCCTATCCAATGTTTGGGACAATTTCTTTAGAGGTAGAATAAGACATCACTCCTAAGGCAGATACTGAAAGAGGTACATGAGGACAACCTGGCTGAGTAATCCCCTAAAATCCCATGTCATGAGTACCACAATCGTCATTCTTGTTGTTGCTGCAGTCGCTACTACTATTGCTACCATATCTGCCGTTGCTACTGCTATGGTCATCTCTCTCATTGCTGCTTCATTGTTACCACCACCACCACCAATGCCATTGTCATTGCCACAATCTCAACCATGACAACCTTTGCCGCCACCACCCATGCCACTACTGTTGCCAGCGACCACACTATCACCAACCTATTGTTATTATTGTCACCATCATTATTCCCTCCACATTGTTGTCACTTTACACTGTTATCACCACTGTCGTTCTCACAGCCAACTACCATCACTGTCACTACCACAAGCACCGCCACTGCACTGTTGCTGCTACCACCACAGCCACCATCGAACAACCATCCCCCCACCTCACAACCAACAATATTGTTATTGCTCACGTCACCATTGTCAAACCCACAGCAGCAACCACCACCCCCCAAAGTTCAAGACTGTTATTGCCACTATAGCCATCAACTTTATTATTATCACTGCAATAAGTGTTGCTGGCTTCCCCAATTGCTGTTGTCATCATCATAACAACTACCATCACCATTGCTGCCATTGCCACAGTCCTTATTCTTGCCACCACTACCACTACCACCAGTTACTAATATAATAAGAAAAAATAACATAATCTATTATGATATAATATTTGTTCTTTGGCCAATCATCCCAAACATATGATGGAATAAAAATCTTTACTGTGGGTAGCATACCTTCCCAACCCAACTACCTTACCCTACACAAGAGCCAAACATCGTCTTTGAGACATTGAAAAAACACAAAAAAACATTAACCACAGGTCAACAAGACTTCATCAGGTTATCCAATGTAAGAATTCTCCTCCAAGCTGGTTCAATGGATCACGGCAAGTTCTCTGGTGGATAAGTCGTGGACAAGGCAAGACATGGAGGCTGATAAGAAGGAAGAAGCTTTATATATATTTTCTAACTAGTTGGCAATCCCTTAATGTTTTCATGAATTCTTCTTTTTCTTCTTCTATAAACAATATGAAAAAATAAATAAACCTCAGGCTGCCTCCAGGCAAAAGAAAAGGCAATGCAAGTAGTAGCTCTTGTCCTCCATATCCTTTCCAAAAACAGCAATCCAAAATGCAGATGATGGTAGAAAGACTCTGCAAAGGATTTGCCATGCTCGTGATCTTCTAGACGAGTTCATTATCTCTGGATGAAACATTGAGTTCTCAAATTCAAAAGCCTAAAATCTTTTACCTGAATCCTAAAAACTACATGCACAGATTTTTGAACCAAAATAGGGTCCACCAGATGATGCTAAGGTCTTTCAGAGAACTTTTCATTCTTGGTCATCTTCTAAACCAATTCATCATCCCTAGATGAAACATTGACTTATCACAAACAAAAGAGCATAATCTGATTACCTGGACCCTAAAACCTACATGCATGATTTCTCAATGCGTGATGCGTGCATGGGTGGGTGATTTCCCAGCATCATTTTCTATGTCATAAAACAGAGGATAATGGATCCCGCTAGTAGCCATAGCAAAATTCTGAGCTAGCACAGAGAAGTAAGATGAATGAAGCCTTTCAGGGAATTGAAACAAGATATTCCACCCTGAGGATATAATAGTCAAAGATGGAGAAAGCCAATGAAAGTTTGGCTGCTCACTGTAAAATGTAAATAACTAATGTGAGCTTATCAACAGCAGAATAAAGACTAAAGCATGCACGACAGCCCTCAGCTGTAACGTCAGAGGCTTGTCTCCAATGGTAAGTCAAAGTAGTAAACACCAGTATCTGTAACCTCTGGTGTGCCGCTTTGACTTTAACCCTACTATAGAAGTTTTAATTTTGTAACATCATACACACATCATATAAAAGAATAGCACTGTCTTTCTCAGGGAAAAAGA